CCCTCTCCCTCTGTCTCCTCTACTCCTCTTTCCCTGTCCCTCTGCCTGCTCCTCTCCCCTGTCCTCCTGTCTCTTCCTCTCCCCCCCCTCTCTGCCTCTGTCCCCTCGGCGTGTTCGTCTCTCTGCCTCCTCCCTCCTGTTCTCCACCTCCATCCCACTCCCCTGCCGGTCTGCCGTTCCCCCAGCACTGCTGATCCTGCCAGTGACCAGTTAACCAATCGGGGCACTGATCTTCACTCCTGCTCCCGGAGAGCCGCTGCGTCTCCTGGTTTTCATTCCAGCCAGGAATCTGACCGACACGATGGGGTTCTCGTGTTCGCTTCGCAGGCCTTTGTGCAGACTGTCCAGGCCGGCAGCTGTCCAGCGATTTTCATTTTATTTCAGCATCTTCCCTCTGGTTTTCATTCCTGCTCCCTGTCATTCCCACCCCCTGCTTTCCTTCCGGATAAAAAAAGACTAGTGCAGTTTCTGGGACGGCATTTCTCAAGCCACGCTCTGCCCGTGACGCCGAGACAGCTGGGATCGGTGTCTATTCAGGGAGTCGGGAGCCGGAACGGACTTTGAACTGACTGCTTGCCCCAGTCTGGGCAGTTCATGACTCGGTAACGCTGCTCTGTGCGTCTCCCCTAGAGGGCAGTGTTTCTGACGCGGCGTGCGTCTGCGCACGGGGACGCATTTCAGAGCAGCTCCTCTCGTCTCGAACCCTGACGGTGGCGTACCCCAAGGTCGTCGCGCATTCAGGTATCTGAAACCTTTGAGTAAATCTGTGATAAACTTGGAATCACCGGAGAAACCGTTGTGCTACATCCTCCTGTAGTTGTTTTTTTTATTAATAACTTTTTTATCTCTCCACAAGGAGAGTGATTGTATATAAATTTAGTAGCCTGTTGAGATGTGACATTAAAACTGAAACCTGTCAGTTTTTTACCAAATACTACAGTGTGTGAAAATTTTTCTCCACCTCCTGCTCCTGTTGTCTCCTGGTTCTTTTCTTGACCGTTTTATTGAACTGTTTGCCATTTAGGCCTTGTCAGTGGTTTCCAATACTTTTTTTTTATTTTTGATGGCAAAGTACATATAAAAACAGTGCTTCTTACACAAGACCCCTGACTTCTTAAGAGTGTAAAACACATGTTAAAATGTTCTAGTTATTTGAATTAAAGTTTCCATTCTGTCTTACAGGGAGTGTTCTTCTGAAATGTGAACTGAAAGAGACTCGGATTCACAAAGTAACAATATTAAGAGATTAAGAGGAATTTCTGTACCTGAAGCTACCTCTGAAAAACATCCCCCCCCATGTTTGAAACACATCTTGGCAAGCCTGTGTCTGGTCAGTGGACTTATGGATAGCCTTTTTATGAAATCCAGATTTTGCTATACTGTAAGTGGTGTTAGTGGACTGGTAGGTGGTCCTCTTGCCTTTGGACCAAAAGTCCTAGACCAGTACCACAGTATTGGTATTCACACCTGTATAAGTCTCCACAGATGAAATATGTCTTATTTCATTGTAGCATGGAATAAACCTTTACCTGTTCCAATACCACAGTATGGTCATTGAAGATCCCAGGCCACTGAAAGCTTAGGGGTGTTGACCCTGGTGTCCTGCCTAATTAAAGTCTGTCCCCCCTCCAGCTCCCCCTTCACCCCCTGGGGCAGCAGTGCGTCTCTCCTGCCCTGAGCTGCCCGCAGTGGGGCTGCTCTTCGGCGGGGAGAGGCAGTGGGGCCCTCCTATGAGTGAAGCACTCAGTAATGTAAATGCAAGGAATTGTGAAAATGAGACGCATAGCTCCACAACACCCTCTGTCCCTGGCCTTGTTCTCCGTATTGGAACTGATGAGTACTAGATTAATATGGGCGAGTGTCGTATTGGTTTTGGCAAGTGCTGTATTCATAAGCATGACTACTGTATGAATATGGGTGTGTACTATGTTAATATAGATGTGTACTGGGTTTGTGCGGGTGAGTACTGTATTCATACAGGTAAGTGTATTTACTCTAAGCTCCTTCTCTCAGTGTTGAAAAGGCTAATTCCTAAAGAGTATTTTACGATTGTGGCTGACCTTTGCTCCTGGAAAACATCCCAGTTTTCCAGAATTCAGAATCTGACAAAGTCCAAAAGTTGAACTCTTGCCCTGTGCAGGAGCGAGAGATGATGCACGGTTTGACATTTGTATAAAAATAAAAGCAAGGCTCTTGCTGGTGTAGACGACAGAGCAGCTGCAGAGCTCCGGGGCATCGCAGCAGTCCGGCAGAGCAGCTGTTGGTCCTGGCGCCTAAGACTTTCACAACGAAATCAAGAATAAGGCTTCAATAATAAAATGTACATAAAATGTTATGTTTTTATTGATATTTTAATTTCTATTTAAATAGAAAGGCATTCTATACAGCATCAGGCAGGATATATATATATTTTTCGAAAATACAGAAGGAAGGGGGCGTGGCACTAGTCACGCTAGCACATCTGGCGTGCTCAGTGGGTACATTTAGTGCATTATTGCATTACAAAGCAGACATCAGAAAAAGAAAATAGTGCAATTCCTTTCTTATACCTACACTAATGAGAGAAATTCTCTGTCTTCTAAGTTTGTTTTCTTTTACTTTTAGGCTTTGTATTGCATACAGAATGCTAGTATCGTTCGATTAAAAATGAGACGCATTAAAGCAACTGGAATATTAAAAATTGTGCTTCAGAGGAGATTAAAACATCACCCGGGCTGTTTTTCGCTCTTGAAATATTGGTCCACTGGGAGACGGAAGTGGATCGCGGAAGATCCGGGACAGAACTGAAGATTTTGCACTTTTTGGTCAAAGCACCGAACTCCCCAGTTGGGTTCAAGTCTTGAAAACAATGGCGGCTTTACGAAGACCAATTAGACCAATTAGACCAATTAACTCAACACTCGACTCTGTTAACAAAGCGATCCGGGTCGACTCGAGTCTCGCTGTGGGACAGGGAGTTTCATGGGCTGGAATGCTTACTCGCATCTGCCGTTCCATTTCCGGTTTTACACGAAAGAGCCCCCCATCATTTGGCAGGTGCATTAAACAATAGTTTAAGAGATTTACCTTTGAAAATGCAGTTTTGTACGCTCTGCGTATTGTGTATAAAAACAGGGTAAGAATACAAACTCCGTAATATAATAATCTTAATTTTCAGAATTCGTTACTAAAGTATATCTGAACCGTATCAACAATCAGTTATCATGCAACACTTGCATAGGGAGGAAATTTCAGTTCATGCTGTGAGTTCTTCAAAAACACTGGACGCGGGATGAGACGGGTTTGCAAACGGACGCTGCTCGAGCCGAGAGTGAGAAGGTGCAGCTCAGTAGCGGAGGGGGGACGCGCGTCCCCCCCGCCGGGGCCGCGCCGCGCCCGCACGCGTCTGCGTGCGCGCCTGCAGCTTGGAGACCATGGGATGGCTCCGGTAGTGGCGTTCCTGGGGGGATGAGCTCTGGCTTGGGCTGATCAGGCAGATTCTGGCCATCTTTAAACTACGGACAAGACACCCCCCCCCCGTTCTGTTCTTTTAAAAGCAATCCCTGACATTGACCCTGTAATGACAAACGTGGGCTGAACGTGTGTCGGGCTGGACAGCTGTCCTCTGCTTCACTTTCGGCAGTGAGGGGGCGAACTTCGCCCTCAAGGCCGAGGGAAAACGGGAGGCGTGACCAGCGGTGGGCCTCAGACCTAACGGGCTCAGAGACAGGGTTCCGCGCGGACGCGGGACATGCTGGGGGTCTCTGGGTGACTGTACGTGGGGGGCAAACCCCCCCCAGCGGGCTTGTGATCTGCGCGGTGGCGGCGGCGTGTCCTGGGTCCGAATGAGCCCCTGCTCTCGGGAGGAGCCAGCCCTCGGGTGCTCAGGCGAGCCTGACTCGCCGGAACCGCCTCGCGGGTCTTAAAGTTGCCCAGCTCGGGAAACGCTGCGGTGTCAAAGCCCCACGAGGAGCTAACACAGTTAAACGAGTGTGAGCCAAACTTCTGGGTCATCCGAGGGGCGGGCTCCTCGCTCTGTCCCTGCGCTCTGGAGCCCAGCCCGCTGGCTGTCTCTGCAGGGCCGCGCGACAGCCAGGGGCTCCAAAAACACGGAGCCATTCCTTTGTGATCCAATGAACAGCTGATTAGTTCGAATAAGTCATTCAGAGACCCTCTCCGGCGCTCAGGGACCAGAGCTGTCTCAGTTGACCAGCTGGCTTGCCTGACCGCTCAGTAACTCGCGGGTGCCCCCCAGTCTCCAAGAACAGGGGACCTGCAGGGCTGACCGGACTGGGGCCCCTGCGGGACCCGGGTTTGAACAGCTCTCTCTGAACAGGAACTGGCCCGGCTCAGTAACTCGCGGGTGCTCCCCCAGTCTCCAAGAACAGGGGACCTGCAGGGCTGACCGGACTGGGGCCCCCGCGGGACCCGGGTTTGAACAGCTCTCTCTGAACAGGAACTGGCCCGGCTCATTCCTCTCTTCTGTGGAAGGGTCGAAGAGAGACAGAGGAACTGCTGGATTTCAGACTCTGAGGCCCAGGGCTGGGCAGCCCTGCTTCTAGAAGGAGACCCTGGCTCTGGTCCCTGATCCGAACTGAGGCCCGCGTGCAGACGGTGTCCTGGTGAGCTGTGATCATGATTCAACATGGCAGTGGTGTAGCGGGGTGGGGCAGGGCTGCGTTTGTCTATTAAACACGGGAATATGAGACTACAGGAGTCCAGGGGAACTTGGCTTGAGCTCGTGCGATGGATGTGTCACTCAGGAGCCTCACGTTCCTAAAAGCCACGGCAGCGCTGACGCCCGAACGGCTAACCTCCACACCGCAAGACGCCATGAGTTTCAGAAAGCGCTCCGCTAGGTGGCTTCAGAAATGACTTTCTCCTTCTGTCACTAAACAGTTCAAGCAGGAGCTCTGCACCTTTGTAGGAACGGCAGCAGCTGTGCACACGAGGCTGGGTGGTGGTGCACTGCTGAAGGCGACAGCAGACCCAGCTGGGGTGCTGACTCAGGGGCCCTGAGAGTCTGCAGCCCCTGGTCCTGGAACGCCTCAGTTCTTATTCCAGCTGAGCTGCAAATGACTTAACAGGATCAATCGGTCAGTTAATTAAAAGCAGTTAACATGCTTACTCATTGTAAGTGTCCTTGATCTTATTAAAGTCCATCTATAGCAATTCTGGACTGTGGCAGCTCAGGAGCAGGGTTACAGTGCCCTGGTAGTAAGGGGCGCCCCCTGTAGTGTTTTTTGTGCAAGGAGCTTATATGTTACTTGACCTGGATTAAGCCTGCTGCCTCCTAGTGGAGCTTTGTGAAACTGGCCCTTTCGTAGCCGTTAAACGTGTAAAATACAGGAAAATGGTGTAAAACCAGGGCTGCTCAAACTGTAGTCCTTCCACTCCACTCCAGTACATGGATAGAATCTGCACCTTGCCCTGTTGATCCTGTTAATCCATCCATCCATATCTAACCGCTTCATCCATTACAAGGTTGCAAGGGAGCTGGAGCCTATCCCAGCAAGCAATGTGTGCAAGGCGGGGTACACCCGGGATAGGACACCAGTCCATCACAGGGCACACACAGGCATAGACACAGACTCGCACTCGCACAAAAGCCAATTTTCCCAGAAGCTAAGTAACATACCAGCTTGTCTTTGGACCGTGGAGCACCTGGAGAAAACACACACAAACATGGGGAGAACATACCGACTCCACACAGACAGCACCCCAGGAATTAAGTGCTAACCACTGAAATCACCACGCCACCCTCTGATTCTGCTGATTCCCAAATAATTAAGGAGCTGTGTGGAGGACTGAAAGCTCTGCATGTTGACTAACCTGGATATACAACCGACAACATAGAACATTTTACAGCTTCAACTCTTCAAAAACACTAGCAGCCCTTCTCTGGTGTAGATCATTTTCTGTAAAACCTTACAACAGAATCATTCCTTTGTAGGAATGGCTGCTTTGCTTTTAAAACAAGCCAGAGTATCATGTAGATCAAAATAACAAATATGCAAGCAAAAATAAACTGGGCTATTTCATATGTACAAGTTCCTCAGATTCATGAATTATGGACGGGAAAGAAAACATAGGAAATTTCCTTACTCATTGATTTGTTCTTCTAACTTAAATGTGCAAACTTATACTAAATTAAATATTCTAATTAAATATTATTTCTAATACATACATGCAATGCTAAAAGACACCAGGTTCTGGGGTTTAAGGCCAGCAAGATCAAACTATCTCAGATTCTGCACTTTAAAACAGTCTGAACTTCTGCTTATCCGGAGTGACTGTCCTTATGTGTTCCTGGCTCTCGAAGACCTGGTTTGGAGACCCTGGGCTGGCCGTACTGGGGCTCCCCCAGACTAGGGCTGGGGACCCCTGTGATGACCGGACTGGGGCTCCCCCAGACCAGGGCTGGAGACCTCTGTGATGACCAGACTGGGGCTCCCCCAGACCAGGGCTGGGGACCTCTGTGATGACCGGACTGGGGCACTCCCAGACTAGGGCTGGGGACCCCTGTGATGACTGGACTGGGGCTCCCCCAGACCAGGGCTGGGGATCCCTGTACTGACCAGACTGGGGCACTCCCAGACTAGGGCTGGGGACCCCTGTGATGACCGGACTGGGGCTCTGCAGGACCAGGGCTGGGAAACCCTGTGGTGACCAGACCAGACTGGGACTCTGCAGGACCAGGGTTTGAGACCTCTGCTTTAAGACCATTTGCATATTAATACATGAGCACCATCAATCTTAAACAACTGCAGGACTGCAGCTGATCAAATCAATAATGGTGTACAATTATTAATAACATTTTCAATAATCTTGTCCTGGCTGCTCGTAAACAGAGCATTAACCTTGATTACAATTAAAACGACAAGCAGAATTAGTTACTACAAAAGTTGCTACAAAAGAATTAGACTCCCATTGCACAGCATGTCAATCCATTCCAGGCTTTAATACTTGTGGGGTTCTCAACCTATTGAGCCCACAGAAGAAAATCTGTTTTCAAAATGAATCTCACGTCACGCTTATCTGCTGACACTTTCACTGTCCACAGGCAGTGTCTGAAGAAGAAGCAGCTCGTTCTCATCTTGGATCAAAGTGCTCTGCCTTGGGATTCTAATTGCTGCTGCTGGCCACTGATGGAGGCTGGGGCAGGTGATGCTGGCTGCCTTTGAAAAGAGTGAAAAAACTAAGATTGGTGCCGCAGAACTGGAAAGATTTTTTTTGCTTGAGTAACTCAGCTATGCATGGTGTCATTCATAAGAGGGAAAAAATGCTGTTGAAACAGGCTCACAATCTATAAGAAAGAAAGGAAAAACGTATTCCTGCTTTTTAAACAAGTGCAGGAGTTAGCAGGCATATGTGCAAAACTAAACTCACCCTTTCTGAACTAAAGGCAGGCGTTGTCTGGGCCGAGCACCAGCCATCCTTTATGCTATAGTAATGTCTGTGTCTCTTCTGCCCACAAGATACCGGAGCAGAACACCCATCCTAATGTTAAAAGTTACGGTAACTGCTGTTCAAGCTGACTTGGACACCTGCTGATCCGTTTCCTGGAGCAATCAGGATGGAGGAACTTGTTCATTCTGTGTGCATTAATTCTAAAAAACGAAAGCTGCCTCAGATCGCTTCATATGGTTACAGGGGGTGAGAGGTGGGCTTCGCTTCAGCCTTTGAGAAAAGAAGGGGAGGAGGCGAAGGTTGGTTTATGAATGCCCTGTACTTTACATGCAGGTCTGAATGCGTTTTAAAAGGTGAAGAAGATTTCAAATGAAGTGCTTACATGCTTTGGATAGCTGAGCAAGTTGGATCCCTTTGAGGGGCTGTTGTATTATTTTATGTGCAAAAACCTGAACTTTAAAAATGATGAAGCTCACCTCTGATTGCCCACACATCTGTGCATAAGCTGTGGCTTGTATGGTTGCCTCCGTGAGTCAATACTGTATGATTCTACAAACACCTGGGAGGGGGCTTCTCGTCTTAAAAAGGGGGGGCACTGTAGTTGAGAATGGGGTAACCTGAGGCTGTAGGGAGCTGTTGCCCAGCTCTGGCGCCTGGGGATGTGTAAGTGGTCTGCAGCTGGTGGCCGTGGAGAAGAGGTGAACTGATCGGTTGGTCAGCGCTCCGCTAAAGATCAGGCAGGGCCGTGGAGCGCATCGGAAAGGAATGGAAGACCCACGATTCCGTACTCCTGCCTCATTCCCAGGGGGAGGGGGTGCAGCCCTGCTCCCGAGGGGCCACAGCTCATCCCGGCCGAGCCTGGCACGGCTTCACCGAATCGGAGCGAGGCTTCCAGGCCGCTGTGCACGCCTCTCCTGTCCCGGATTACTGACATTCCCAGCTTTCCCCGCTTCCTCGGCAGGTGGTCAACAATGGGGACAGTGAAACCTGGATTTTCCTTAGGGGACTGTGGCACTCCTGGAGCGGGGCTGCAGGCCCTGCCCTGGCGGGGGTACCCCCTCCCGCCCCTCGACCTCCCCTCCCTGGGCCTCAGTAGCTGTCGCGGGGCCAGGGCCTGGGGCGCTGGCGGCTGTGGCCCCCGTTGTGGCTCTGGTCGGCGTCGCGCTGCAGCAGCAGGCGGTCCTGAGACTCGTGCCCGTTGGCGCTGTGCAGGCCGGCGCCGTTGCTGCGGTGTGGCTTGCAGAGGTCCTGGTAGGCGCGGTCGTGGCCCCGGCTGTACTCCTGCTGCTCCGGCGGTCGCAGGCCCCCCCCGCCCCAGGCCGGGCCCCGGGACGCCGTGTCGCTGGCCTCGTCGGAATGCATCAGGCTGTCCAGCTCCACAGAGGAGTGCGCCCCCTCCAGGTCTTCCCCACGGTCTCCCCCCGCCAGCAGCTGCCGGCCCTGAGAGAGAGAGAGAGAGAGAGTCGTTTTCCCTCGAGAAGTCATATTTGTGCTCTTCCCACCCGAAGCGCCTGTCGTGTGTTTTTTCATGTCTCCGCTCACAGCTGCAGTACGCTCCCTGTGACCTCACCCAGGGGAGGAAGAGGAAGCGCAGGCAGACTGACCCCACCCACTTCTGAGTCACATGTCACAGGGAGCACCGCCCCCCTGCTGGAGGATCAGCTCACTGATTGGAGGAGAGGCGCGTCCCTTGCCGACAGTACTGCCAGCGTCCGGGACGAGCAGGGGTCACCGAGAGCCGAGAGGGTCCTGGCTGATGAGTCTCAACCTCTCCTCAGCCTGTAGTGCACCTCATTTGGAGGAATCCGGGTCACAGTTTGCTAGTAACATGGCCAGGCTCGAACCCATGATCACAGATCTCAGAGTTCAGTGAGCACCTTTACAGGTTGAGCCATACTGTACATATACCTCTGGTTTTGGGAAGCAAAAGCCATTCTGTCTATGGAATCATTGGGATCATCTTGGAACAGAGTGCTTCTTTTAAAGCAGATGGCCAAGCATCATTTTTGCAGGTGCGCTTGTGATCTGTTACAGTATTCACAAAGCATGAACTTTTCTGGATAGTTTAAAGTTTTTTTCCCATCACAGAGCTTAGGTCAAGCTTAGGCCAAAATATTGGGAACCCCGCAGGGAACAGTGTGTCGGGCCTCTGCGAACAGCACAAGGCTTACAGATCTCCACAGCCGATCCCATTCCTCTCTCCTGGAAAGTTCACCTTCAGCTGGGGTCGTGAGGAGGGTGGTAGTGTGTGGGGACTGAACTGGACAGGTCCACTGGTTCCAATGGTTTCCAACAGGGGTGAGGTCAGGGGATTGTTCTGGCCAAGGAAGGTGATGGGAGTCTGTCTCCTGCTCCTCCAGCCCAACCCCACACACACACAAACACACTGCCCCCTGCTGGGAAGGTCCGTTGATTAGACTGATGAGATTCCTAATATTTTAGCCAGTTAGCCAGTATCCTTTTTTAGAGCGTATTTGTCAGGCCCCACACTATGTGCTAAAATCAAACCTGACTGTGTTTAAGCATGTTGCTTTCTGTTGCAGTTGCCAAAGTCTGAATGAGAGTCTCACTTAATGAACTAGCTATTACTATGTTATGCTGTGCTTTGTGAATCTAAACAAATCAGCACATTCACACCCCACCCACTGTCTACAACAGGGGTCTCCAGCCCTGGTCCTGGGGAGCCCCAGTGCAGTCCATCCAGGGGTCTCCAGCCCTGTTCCTGGGGAGCCCCAGCCCACCTGGTGTTGAAATAACCAACTTCTAAAAACCCCAAATAATAAGTAACTGTGATTAATTATAAACAGGTCATTTGATAATTTAACTGGAAACTAAAATCTGACGGAGTTAATTAATAAATTATTATGCCTAATCGAAAATAACGTGTTTCTACAGCCTTTGCCAGAAAATTGTCCATGAAGCTGATTTAATCAATTTCATCATCATCAATTTCCCTACAGGATTAATAAAGTATTATCTATCTATCTATCTCGGATGACTTATAAGACTCACTGTATTAGAGCTCTTGAGGTCCCCTTGAACCCCTGGAGACCCCTGATCAATAAGGACAGGTGGAGAAAAGGAGGTACAGCTGGGAGACAGATATGGGGTGCAGCTCTTTACAGGAGTGGGTGCGGACCAGTGGAAGTGTTCTCCTTGCACAGAATGTTGCTTTTTTGGGGCGCGGTAAAGGAAGAAGGGTATGTTACGAGTGAAGTTGTTTTGGAAAGGGGGTGAGGTGGGTGGTGTTGGGGTGGGTTGGGGTAGTGGGGGAGCCCATGAATTAGTCTGCATACTCACCCCATTACATAAATGATTATTCGATTAATTCCTGTGTCTCAGAGAACTGCAAAGATTTGAGGCAGCAATGAGTCAGGAGTCAGAGCATTGAAAACCAGTTCAAAAGACAGTAACAAGAACTCAACAGGAGAGGGCGCTGTACAGCCATGACAATACGGGGAGAAAGAGTATACAATGACATTAGCCACCAAACAGGATTAACTATCACCAGCAACAGTGAATAAGTGCTCCTAATATGAGCTTTGTTTTCCATTTCATAACAAACTAGAGTACTGAGGGGTGAACATGCATTTCAGACTTGCAACAGTTGGCACTTCTTTGCACTAAGAGCTACGGGAGTCTGGAATGAGCTGCCCGGACTTTTTGTTGAAGCAGACACTGGCTTCCTTAAAGAAACAGCTGGCTGAATGCTAGCGAATAGAAGGGCTACACTTGGGTGTAACGTGCGTAGGACCTCCAGATGCACGATTAGTCAATGAAAACCCCTTCTCTGGATCCGGTCATGTCTGCTGCTGTGGGCTCTCTGTAGCTGTCAGCGTCAGTCTCGGCGCACGCGGTCGTACCTGGAGGCTAGAGATGGCGGAGGGTGGGGTCATCAGGTTTTGCTCCAGCAGGGGGTTCATGGGGGCAGAGCCCGGCATGTGTGTGGCACGCCAGTAGACCTCCAGGTACTCAGCCAGGTGCTCACAGGCGTCTTCCAGCTGGTTCTCATCCAGGATCACATCAAACATTTCCTGGTGGGACAGGAGGTAGGGGGCGAGTAGGAGATAGGCCCACACCGTATGAGCTGGACAGGATGAACTGCCCTGTAATTGGGCTTGGTCACGGCTAAAGACAGATATTGAAGAGTAAAAGTTGGAAGGTCTATTGCACCGGAGCCACAGATGCAGGACCCCTCTGCATGTGCTCAGGAGAGCCTGAGACTCAGGGATGGGCATCCTAACCCTGATGTACTGATGCTGTACTCCTAACCCTGGAGCCATGCAGTTTTGCCCACTGCGTCCTGTTGCCCACGCATCACCACGACGACACCGAGGATGTGCAGGTAGGCACCTTGTATCCGAACGCTGTTTGACATGCTAGCGGCCCTGCGGTGCCGGACGCTCCTCCCGGACAGCACCGCCAGCCTGCAGGTAAGCAGGAAGTCGCGGGAGTGAGGATTTCACCGGGGCCTGACAGAACCCAGACAGCGGTCAGCCATTCGCGGAACCCCTGATCAACCCCTGATCTCAAGCAGACTTTAGTGTGAGGAAATAGATCTCAATTCATTTAGGACAGAGATCAGGGAACTCATCTTTATTCTAAGAGGAGAGGGTGGCTAGAATAGGATCCCTAGCTAAGTTGTTGAGGTGCAGGAAGATTTCTGGGCACTTCTAATAAATGTGTGGACAAAAGCTTAGATTCACTTCACTACTGAACTACCAACTGGCCTCCTCTCTTCTGCTGACCCTTCTTGTGTTCTTATGCTATAAGGTATGAATGTCATCCATCTATCCATTCATTTGCTCACTTCTTCCAATTCAGGGTCACAGGGGAGCTGGAGCCTATACCAGCAAGCAAGGCAGGGTACACCCTGGACAGGACGCCAGTCCATCACAGGACACACACAGACACACACTCTCACACCAGGGCGAGTTTTCCCAGAAGTCATTTAACCCACCAGCATGTCTTTGGACTGTGGGGAAAAACCGCACAAACAGGGACAACACACAAACTCCACACAGAAAGCACCCCAGGGCCAGAATTGAACAGAATTAGCACTGCTCACCACTGCGGCACCGTCCTGCTTGTGAATGTCATCGTGAATGTTTTCTTTATTACAAGGACCCCCTAGTTGTGCACAGCCCAGGTGAAGGTACTCTGTGTCCGCTGCCCACCTGTGGTGTCCCGGATGGGCGTGTGGTGCTGTGGGTCTGGCCAGGGGCGGGTACTCACCGGGGGGCACTGAGCCAGCTTGTCCGCTGCCATCAACTGCACGTTGAGGTGCTTGCTCTGCGACTTCCCGCGAGACTTGACCAGCCGCTGCAGGACCTGGCGAGAGGCAGAAAGAGAGCACCGTCGAGCTCCAGCGTTCGGCAGCGTGTCAGGAAAGCAGCTGCTTGCTACTTGTTACTCCCTTGATTTTGACTTTGAGAGGGGGGGGGGGGAGGAGAGACCCCACTGGGACACAAACACAGCATGCACTGGAATGCCCCCATGCCCTAAAAAGATAGCACATTCCCACTTCCTTCTGAATCAGAGCTACTTCCAATCCTACTGCGGGAAGGAAACTCAGTAGGACGGCAGCCCAGGGTGTGATCTCCTGTCACAGCCTAAGGAACAGGCACTGAGCCTCTCAAATAATACTACAATGTCATATAGTCACGAATATATGTCTGTGTTCACCAGTCGTTGTTGCTTTGGCTGCGCCGTAGCTCACTGGTCAAGCTAGTAAAGGCCTTCGAAAGCGAGAGACGTGAGAGAAGTGACGGGGGGGAGAGAGAATGAGCAGTAGACAAGGATGAGCTGGAAAGAAAAAGAAAAAGTAGGAATCATAGGGAGAGGAGGAGAGGAAAGGGGAAAGAAAGGGAGGAGATTGTATTGGAAGGAGGGATGAATGGGACCAAGTTGAACTGCAGAGTGACAGACAGAGAGTGAGCGTGTTGCTGACCGGCCACCTACCTTCGGAGACGAGACCTTGACATAGACGATGATGGGCGCCAGTGAGGTCTTGGCCAGCTGCGCAGGGTGGTTAATAGTGTCTGCATCCAGGACCACCAGCTGCAGCGTCTTGGCCAGCTCGAATATCCGCTCGATCTCGCTCTGCACCTCCGCTGCGCCGGGCACAGGACAGCAGAAACAGTCACATACAGAGACTCCAGTCCACGAGGGGACAAGGGTCTAGCAGGAGCTGTTCAACAAGCAGCCAACTGAGACCTGAAAGATGAGTAATTCGAGTTCTGGCCCAAATAATTAGTTCAATTTATTCATTGAAATAATAGTATGCTGAAGGTGAAATATTCATTTCAGCTGTCTGCTCTAGGGACCAGGGACCAGTCCAGCAAGTTCTAGGGGTCTCATTAAATCATCACCTGCATTAGGACACTTGTGCTCCAACACAAATGATGCACTATACCGGCACCGTGTGAGTGAACTGTTGTGCATCCTTTTTCCCAGATCATTTTGTGGCTTTGGGAAAAGGAATGACCTGGGATGTCAGGGGATCTCATTCAGATGGAATGGGTGGGAACATTAGAAAATTCAACCATCAGAAAGCCACTAATCCTTCAAAGGGTTATGGAAAGTCAGGTACTGTCCTAGACACGCAGTGCAGAATTGCAGTTAATTGCAGTACTCTAATCTACATGTGTCTGGAAAGCGCAAATAACCTGGAGCAACAGGAAAAAAAACCTTTCCAACACAGGGTGTACAACTCGCTTTATCCAGTACAGGGTCATGGGGGGAGCTGGAGCCTATCCCAGTTAGCAATAAGTGCAAAGCAGGATACACTCTGGACGGGATGCCAGTCCATCTCAGGACACACATAAACACAGACACGGACGAACTCATACCAGTTTTTCCAGAAGCGAATTGACCTACCAGTACCTTTTTGGACTGTGGGAGTTAACCAGAGCACCACATAAACATGAGGAGAACATGCAAACTCCACGCAGATAGTCCCCTAACCCAGCAGTGGGCGCTGTGTACTTAGTCAGCAGCCCTGTACTCGGTCTCCTCCGTCACTCACCCAGGCTGGAGCGGGTATTCGATCTCTCCATGATGGCTCTCTTGTTCAGGACGGACCTCTTGGCCAAGGACAGGTCAGCCGTCACCCGTGTGATGGATATCCTGCAGGGTCACGAGTTGGAAAGGTGGGTGAGTGGGCATTTGGTTTCTGTGACCAAGAGTGTAAAAGCAAACTGGACACAGCAATCTACAGTACTGTAGCTGGGAAACTACACTGAACCTTGAATCCAGGCAGTTCCTGAGCTGTATAACTAGACTCAATGAGAAGGAGCTGCCAGCATGGGAGATCATTGCAGTATTAAAGGGGATCTTTTCAGATGTTTCTAGAAAGCAGCTCATTTATTTTGTTATCGTTAGAGTGTTCCCAGTGTTCCCTGCGCCTCCATCAATGTCTCTGCTGCCTTTATCTCATGTCAGCCGGGTCTGCAGTTTCTGAGTGTCAATGCATCTGTCTTCCTACAGTACTGAGATCCAGTGATCCAATTTGTCGTGAGGTTTTGTCACGGTTTGTTTTCGTTTTAAATCGTAACTCAGGGCTCTCGTGTCCTGTTCCTGGAGGACATGGTGTCTCTGGATTTTGTTCTGAACTGAGTATTCAACTACACAAGGAACCTAAGTATTTTCTTAAGAACCATCCCCTAGATGTCTAATTAAGGGCACAATTTTCCCAAAAGCCAATTGACCTAACAGTATGTCTCTGGACTGTGGGAGGAAACCCACACTAACACAGAGAGAACATGCAGACTCCACACATATGGCAGCCCAAGTCAGGAAGTGAACCCAGGGCCCCAGTGCTGTGAAGCAGTGATTGCTAACCGCTGTGCAACTGTGCCACCGCGACTGGTGTCCCTTGCTAATCCTTATCTGCATCCATTATCCTGGTGGCCGTATGGAAATCTTAAAATTAAAGACCTAGACATGGCTTTAAATCAGGCCAAACGTGAATGACCTGTTCATTTAAGTCATTAAGGGTCTAGGCAGGAAAGGAATCCTGAAGACACACTGAACCACCCCCAAGCTCCCCCTCACTGGGGATCACAGCTCAGTGACTCACCTTCCATCGAACCTGTGCTTCAGGAAGTCGAACAAGGCTTTCTGCATCATATCGGTGACCTGCAGGGAGGGGAGAGCGCCGGGCGTGACTGGGGGATTCCCGATGTCCTGCGCAGCAAGGTCTGCTGCTGAGCAAGAGCTCTCAAAAGGAAACACACTGCAGCTGTCCTGGTGCTGAGCTCTGGCTGCTCGGCATTGTTTTCATTTCAGTTCTGGGTTAAGTGATGTAGGAGGGAGACATTATGTTAACCTGTGTTTTAAAACCAGTATAATATAAAGAGGCTTTGATTTCTGTTTTGTGATACTGTATATATATATATTTGTGGGTAAAAGCATTAAAAAAAATCAAATATCTGAATATGCAGCCAGTTTCCCAACAAACCATAAGTGTCCACAAGTTAATTTTTGTTGCACAAGTTTCTTAGCATTGTCCAGCCAGACATTTTCTAATCCGCTTTATCCTGTTCAGGGTCCGTGGGGAGCTGGAGCTGGTCGGGAATCACTCCGTCACAGGGCACATATAGACACACTCACACCAGGGCCAGTCTTCCCAGATGCTAATTACCCTGCCAGCTTGTCTCTGGACTGTGGGAAGAAACTGCAGCATCTAGCTGAAATCCATACAAAGACAAGGAGGACATCTGAGCTCCACACAGAGAGTACCCCAGGTCTCCAATTAAAGACAAAGGCCGGCAGCAGTGGACAATACAGTGTCTGTCTATTCATCTATCCCAGTGCCCCAGCACTGAGGGGGTAGCAGAGCTAACCAATATGCTGCTTGTTCTAAGCACTGTGCCACACAGAGAATTACTCCCACTTTGCGGACAGCAGTGCTGTAGCTAACTAGGCTTACGGAAACCTCAAATAGCAAGCTGGAAAGTTGCAGGTTATATCAGCTTTTAGATCAGGTTGGTTGAGAACAGAGTTGAAATATTGATTGCTGAAATGCAGCCACAGGAGAGCGGTGGATTGTCTCCCATGCTTTGAACTGAGAATTGAGGATATTCCTTCCTGTCTCCCAGGGCAGTCGGAAGACGTGACGCAAGACTTTGGAAAATCTCCAAATCCCATTCTGAACTCATTACATTAATATTTTAAGCCGCAGAAGCTAATGTCTTGGAAAAGCACTTCTGCCAGTCCCAGGAAGAAAATTAAACAGGGCCGAGAGATGGGATGAAGCTGAACTGTTCACATCTTGCCAAGGTGAAAAAGTCACTGAGGAGCACTCTGAGCTGGAAGGATGATGGTGAAGCCCCTTTCAAACGCTCCAGTCTGAGCGCAGCACTGGGCAGCGTGCTCCTTCACTGGCACGGGCTCTTTGCTGAGCACCAGCAGAAATACCCCATATACTGTCATACCGGGCCTGTGTCTG